AATCGTGACGAAAAATGGTTTAGTATCAAGTTAAAGGGCTTACCGTTTAGGTTATGAAATGGTTCAGGCAGAAACCACTGAAATGGTTTTCCGTAACGTGAATTGGTGCAACCAGTTTAGCGAGCTAACCGTGACGTGAAACGGTTTAACGTGACTAATAAATGGTTTTGCGTAATGGGAAATGGTTTAGTGTTACAACAAATGATTTCGCGCCGGATCCGCCCAAAATAAAAGCAAAATATATGCAATCTCATTAAGTGTCTATGAGGGGGAGGGACGAGGGGGGTGGAGGAGAGGGGGAATGACGTCATGATTAAAATATGGCGCGAAAATACATCACGTGCGCAGTCTTCCTTTCGGTATGAAGTTTGCTTTTCGCTGTTTTTATTTAAAGTCTATATCGTATTCAGTAGGATAAACTGTAATGCAAGGAACTCTTGTACAAACAGCAGCGGAGTGAAGCCGGATCTTGGTTTAGATCAGGATCAGCAGCGTAAAAAGCATCAAAGCCGACCTTTTCAGACGTCCGGTTAGCATTTCAATTAGTTTTATTGCATGCTATATCATATTCTAGTGCCCAGTTTTTTACATCTTCACCGAGGGTATTTTTCGCGATATATATGATGCACGTAACATTGCAGAGAATACGCTTTGTTACGCTTCAGTTGTTTGAAGTCTGCCAGGCTGATCATTCGACGTATAAATCACTCAAGGACTCGGTTCGCACTCTACTCTATTTTTCCCAATCCCATTCTTTTCTGCGCTCTGGTTCAACCCCTACATAATGCGGAGAAGGGCGAGTCGGCAGGGAATGTACCAGCTAAGCAGTAAGAGTTCCAATAAAGCCGCTCAACCGCGTGGCCATATAAAAGACTGTTACCGTGTTCAAGAAATTTCTTCATCTTTGTACAAACGGATGACAACGTAAAACGTAACATTAACTAAAACATGACGTCAAAGAACCACTTATGATTGGTGACACCAGTGTGCAAGAATGTAAGCTTCTGGTGACCCCATTTTATGTTGATACACTGTATAAATCATAGTTCATAGAAGGGAATGGTTACGAAAGCCCTGAAAACTTCAAAGGAGAAAAGCTGAAAGATGCCAAAATTGGTGCTAGGTGGTCCGAAACTGTGCAATGCCCGTTTTTCTTTGCCCTCATAGACCTAACACGCTATCCGAAAATTTTCTATTGGTTAGTTCCTCAGACAGATTAAAACACCTTTTGTTTTGTACAGGGTCAAGACTGAAAAAGAGAACACAAAACATAAACAAAGAACTTTGTCAGACTCCATAACCTGATTTCCTTCTACTGACTCTGATTAATTAATTAATTAACTAATTAATTAATCAATTTTAAGTTTTCTGTCCATTTTTGTGTGAAACTAACACTTGTGAGAGAACAGCTCTGTTAAGTGGACACTGACACTGGCATCTGCTCATACAGGTTCCACTTTAATTAGAGACTACTCCTCTAAAATTTTGAAAAATTAAAGTGGCTCTGAATGCATCTTATCCTGCTAATCAAAAATTGATAATAAAAAAAATGGGTTTCACCATGCCATTTTCGAGATATAGCTATAAGTAATTAACTGTAAAATTAAGGTTATTTTAAGCAGGTCATTCTGTTGCTATGGTAACCTATTTTGTCACAAAAATGATAACAACATATTCACCAATGATTGGGCAGTTTTTTTTATACCACAATTGTACCATCAAGTGATAAAGATTGGTTAAGTAATGACCATCAAAATCTACATCTAAGTCTTGAAAAGTGCTGGAAACTGTTTAGAGCCACCTTAATGCGGTAAGCTTAATTAATCTTTCTTATAAGTAATTATTTTTAATTGTTTGATTACTTACAATTTTTCTTATGTCTCACTGATTTGGACATCATAATGAAAAATTTAAAGCAAATTTCTCACCGACTTCTAAGTGCATCAGGGACTTAGCACTGGACACTATAACCATAAACAGCTCAGTGAGGAAGTTATTCAAGTAGAGTAGAGTAGAGTATTAACAATTTCTCCTTTTGTCATCAATGCTTTTATGCTTTTTTGATTGAAATCAAGAATAAATAACACTAACATGATGAACAAATATCAAATGTTTTGGTTTGCAAACAAATTCCTGATCAGTGTATGAAAAGGAGTATGAAAAATATGTATGTGATATTTGGGCAAGGGTTGCCATTTGAAATTATCATGACAATCAAATGCATCAAATCAATCAATTAACTTTATTTACAAACTGTAATATTTATTGCTTTCACAGCTTGTGGGGCTTAAATGGCCATCATTACCACCAAAATAATATTATATACAGCTATAAATACAGCCTACCAGGTTTTGAGACAATTATATACCACAACTTCTTAACATTTCTATAAATAATAGCCAAGAGCTACCATTTTTTACGTCATACACAAAGAGGTTTTGTGGCAGATGTCATATGGACTAACAAACTGCAATAAATTTGAACCAAAAAGCTGTTTTCCATTAAGTCAGCCATGGCAATTCAATAAATGAATCAGTATTTTATCCAAGCTTACAGTTTTCTGCATCTGTTTTCTTCTGGGTGACAATTCTGATTAACCCTGGTTTAATTAATGTGAGATGAGCAAATTCTGCCTGGATTGTGCGGTTCCAGAAAATGTCCACGCCCACCCTGAGGAGGTCTAGTGGAAATTCCAAATGGGAGGGGAGACTCAAAAGCCAATTTCCTTAAAGGAAAGTATGAACCAAAACTGGAATTTCCAGGGGGATGGGGGGAGGGTGGAGGTTTAAAACCAAAAAATCTCTGAGGGATGGGTATGGATATTTTCTGGAACATAACACAAACAAATTAGGCAGGATCATAAGATTAATTTATTTTTGTCAACTGCAAAATTAGAGCTGATAATTAAATCAAATATGCAAAAAAGGCTCAAAAGTTGGGACAATTCTATGGAGCTGCTCAATCATTGTCACAGACGGGCACTATGGGCTAATAGTATCTCTCTGAGGATGAGCACTATCGCATCACGTGATCGATTTAAACCAATAAGAATAGGAAAAAATTTAGTGGTGAACTATAATAATATTATAATTAGTCCCATTTAACTAGCAATTTTTATGCAAAATGTACTATGAACTAATAAATTTCCAATTTTTAAAATCATTCTAGTCTCAATGTTCGAGCAAGGTTCTCAGCTTCTAATTGCAGGTCATGGATCAGTTATTATTTGTCAGTGCCTAAACTGGGGTCTTAATAAGACGACAAAACCAATGTTGTGTGATTGCTAAGTGTTATTAGTTAAAGTTATTTGACTCTGGGTGGAACCTATGTAATGAACAATTATGTTCTCTGGTGGTCTAGTCATCACGGTGTTTCAGATGTTGCAAGTCACCAGTGCGTATTCTTCGCTTTCTGATTGCCTCCTTTGAAATAGTTTTCAAGTCATAAGCCAGTCCAAACAGTGCACAGAGGTCAATGAACCACTTAGATGGGTTCATTGGTGAGCCTAACTCACTCGTGGCATAGTCCTGAGGAAAAGTGTGATGAAAGTTGTGAAAGCCTTCCCCACCAGTTGCTATGACAACAGAGAAGTTTTGTGAAGGATTAATGTGCTCATCATAAGGCTTTGCTCCCCAAAGGTGGGCAAAACTGTTTACACACCAAGTTGCGTTAAGGGTGAAGGTGTAACGGAATGCATAGCAAATGAAGAATCCATTCCAGATACTTTCATTCCAGAAGTACCAAGGTACTGCAATTGGTATAATGACATTGCAAATTGTGCTGAGAAGCTTGTAATGCCTGGGATAAATAATAATGAGCAGATGTTAATATCTGAGTTATATGTACTACCTAAAAGATTTATTGTGTAAATTCTCATTGCAATTTCATGACAGTGTTAACCAGGTAGGTGGTGAGAATAAGGGAAATAATCAACTACTGTTAGAGTCTTGATGATGGTATGAGATTAAATATAACTTTTTTTCAGTCAAACTAAAAATTTTACATAGGAAGAGGTGTGGTCGAGTGAAATATCTACAGGATGGTGGGGGGGGGGGCTTGAAACGGGGACTTGAAGGGGGCCCCAGAGGGGTGTTGGGGATGGGAGGAGGTGAAAAAGCCTGACCATGAGTTTATGTGGTTGAGTTAAATGAACATATCCCCATCTCTTTTCAGACCACACACTTTTGAAAATGATCATGTATTTTTTTTGGAGCAAGAAGGTTCCTTCCCAAGTGAACAGGGTATCCTGAGGGTACTTTTAATTTGGGGCATTTTAATTAAATAAATAAATAAATAAATAAATATACATTTATATAGCGCCATTTTCCACTAATTGTCCATGGTGCTTCACAATACTTTAAAATTAAAATCCTAAGTTTAAAATCCTAAAATTAAAATCCTAATCCTTTAAAAACCTAAAATCCTAAATCCTAGAAGTTAAAATCCTAAGAATTAAATACGCTATATAATACAATTAGGCTACAAATAAAAAGTAAAAACTACAAATCAAATGCACGCTTAGAAAGATAAGTCTTAAGATTAGCCTCAAAAACTGCCTCTGATGATGAAAGTCTGATCTGGAGGGGTAATTTATTCCAGAGCCTTGGTACCGCCACAGAAAAAGCCCTTTCACCATACATTTTAAGATTTGCTCTAGGCTCATCAAGCAACCTGTTGTTTGAAGATCTTAGTGTGCGACCAGAAATGTTAAATCACTGTAGGTCTCTAATGTAATCAGGGGCCAGTCCATTCAGAGCTTTGTAAGTTAACAACAATATTTTGAAAATAATCCTAAAATGAACTGGCAGCCAATTTAAGCTCCTTAGTATTGGTGTGATGTGTATTAAGAGGACCTTTGGGCCTTAGGGGTGAACCATTTGACTTTTGAGGGGGGCAGGGCACGGCAGGGGTGTGGGTGTAATTTTGTATAGGCCTGCGTGGATTTCTTTTACCCCCCTCATGCATTAGCAATTTTCTTATTTTGAGAGATGCATGTGCGCAGGATATTTTCTCTCCATGTAATATGCATTTTTTGGGCTTACTATACATGAAAAATTATTTTTGACAGTGGCTGTGCACATTAATTTTGTTTCAGTACAAGTATGCCTGCAGGATATATAGCAAAATCATTCAATCCTCCCCCTCAACCCCCTCACAAGTCAAATGGTCCACCCCTTATATTATTTACAGCACTCAAAGGAGGCGGGCATGGGGGTGGTTGCAAGGGTGACAGGGGGTGCAAACCTCTTACCCTCCAAAATTAAATTCTAAAATAATAATATTTATAATTACCTTCGCTGAAACATGACGATTTTATCCTCGTACAAATCACTCAGGTCCAGTTGTTTTCCCTTCTTTATGACATCAGGGTGTTTTTTCACCAACAACCAACCAACGTGTGAGAAGAAGAACCCTCTCTTTGCGTTGTGCGGGTCCGCGTCCGTCTCGGAATACTTGTGGTGAACGCGGTGGTCTCTCGCCCATTCAAAGATGTCGTTCTGTGCAGCTAGGGAGTTCATCAACATTAACGCCAGCCTCAGTGGCCAAGAAGCTTTGTACGATCTGTGGGACCAAAGTCTGTGTACGCCGACAGTAATTCCCAGCCCGCCAATAAAGTGACATAACCAGGTCCAGAACCAAGTCCGCGGGCCCGTCCCGGGTATGAGATAAATGCCGTATAACGCCATAAGGTGGAGTACAACCATGAAGTAAACATTAATCCACACGATTTGTCTCTCTGGGCGTTTCACGTCTCTGTCTAAAGTCTTCTTTTGCGCATCTAGAGTTTCTGTTTGAGTTACTGTAACACTCCTTGGAGCCATGGTTTAATCCTCTGTGAACACGGCGAGAAGTTACCGGAATTATTTTCTCAGCTGAACTGCAAAATGAGCAAAATAGTGAGGTTTGTAAAGTGAATGAATTATTAATGAGTGCTAAGCGCAGGGAAAAACCGCAGAGAAATAAATATTGCGATGGAAAAAAGTAACTACGAGCCATATCGGCCAATTAGGTTGTAAATACATTAAATGCGGTGTCGCAGGCCAAAAATTTATTGACGAAACGAAAAGAATTTGTTGTAAATTCGTAAATCCTTTTGAATTGTTGTGTTTTCAGGATTTCATAACCTGAACTGAAAATTTGCATAAAGCAACTGTGTTTGGAGAGATGCATAGTCGCATCAGATCCTTCAATATTTTTGCGCGACGAGTTTAATAATTATGCTACTTTGCGCCTTTGAAAAACAAAACCTTCAGCCCCTGTTATGTAATGTATTCAGTCATTAAAATACGAAGCCATAGCGTCTTTTTGGGAATCACACGATAAAATAATTATTACAAACTGAGTATGTCCGGGCCGGTCTGTATGTCTAACAAATGATGAAAATTCACTTTTTCTGTTTTCCATGTACCATCTCTTTCACGATGCAAATTCAGTGTTTGCTAAAATGCTTGCTACGCAGTAAAAATTCATATCTACGATGTTGGTTTTTTTACGACTTTACACAACGATAAAACTTCAGTTCATATTCCGAAAGGAAATCCTTAAAGATGACAAGATGCGATATCTGCGAGTATGAATAAAACGGCCCTTACCTTCGGAAAATTTTCGTAGAATTCAAAGTCTTCCTTCAAGTTCTAGCTCAACGACGTCGACGCAGATTATTCAAGTAATGGAAAATTTTGGTGAGGCAGGCTTTTATATAAACTTATCGGATGTTTACGGATAAGGTCCGTGAGCCACACGGGCACTCAAGGTCGCCTACCGGAAGTTTTGTCCGTTAATTAAGAGAATTTCTGTTTTCATCTACGAATCTAAATCACCATAATTCATCCGTGAGGAACAATTTTAACGCTTCACGTTGCTCCAAGCAACACAACTTCAATTAAAAGAACTTTGAAGATGGTTAAACGAAAATAAGTCTGATATATATTTCCTAGCCCTGTTAAATTAGAGATTTTTCAAATAAATTGCTCTCTCTCAAAACCTCGTCCGGTTTGTTGTGTCGATAGAACCTGATTTGTGATTGGTTGTATTGAGAACAGTCGCGGTCGTTCAAGGTGACAGTCGGATTTGATGTGCCGATATAATCGTGTTTGTGATTGGTCGAGTTAGACCTTTCGCGGTCGTTCAAGGTTGTTCGAACCGAAAGCCCTTCACGTGCCGCAAGAAACGAGACTAGTGGGATACAAGGATTCTAGCGCGTGTTTAGGGGAAGTTAAAATTCAGGAAGGATTGAGGAAAATTACACCGCAATACAGGATTTTTAAGACAAAACATTAACACTTCTTTCCTGAAAAAGACAGGGGAAAATCTACGTGTCATGCCATCCAGCGAAGCAAGAGCCTCCTACTTCGCATAAACGCCTACTAAAAAATTCCGCGTGCCGAAAAAAACTGGATTTGTTCGACTTCGGAGCGACGGTTGATCCAGACCGTGTATTTTATGTACTTTGTGTCACTGAGGCCTGTAAAACAGTTTTCGTTGATTCTGTCCAAATCAACGACCTGTTCGTAAATTTTGTACTCTGTTCTCGACGATCAGTTTTCAATTGAGGAATACAAAAGAGGAAACCTTTGAAACCAGAGTACAGTTTTTGCTGCAAGAGCTTTCCCAAGATTTTCATTATTACTAAAAAAAAGTATGTGAAAGAGCTAGCATCCTGTTTTTAAACCCTTCTAACCTATGGAAGTCGCCCCCAACAAAGCAAAAGTAAATAAAATCCAAACACGCTCTAATATGTTAAGTTATATTTTATAAAGTTTGTATGCTGATCGGGAAATGACGATTTCGGAGAACTTAACGTTTTCGCCCGCACAAGCCAGAGAAGTGAGAAATTTCAGTGCCGAAGACGTGATTTGCAAGCTTGTTTATACTAAGTACTAATTCTCGTGGCATGATTCTCAGAGTTTTTGTAACCTCTCCTCTAGGTTTAGTTTATTTCAATGTATAGACAACAAAGCAGGTGGCATATCTTAAAATTAGCACACAAAAATTAAAGCGAACTATTTTTTCCGCTTTGTTTTAAGGGTTAACACAGGGCTTACGAAATACACAAAACATTTATATGGTTTCCAGACAGTGAATTTAAAACAGCTAACTAATAATCTCGGGAACTGGAAGAATAACAAATACTGAATTACGAAAGTTTTTTTAAAATTGGGATCATGGAACAATAGCCTGCAGATTTATAAAGGGTGGAATAAAATATAAATGACGTTTCTTGAAAGTTTTTTTTTATATTAAAATTTACAGCTGTTAGTGTTCCACGAGAATATGGAATACAAATGAATTCTTTTTGGATCAGAATATTGACACAAAAAAAAATTAATTTTGGATAACACTGAAATGATGCAAGCTGTGTTCCTTAGGACAAGTGACGAGTGCTCGATTTAAAGTGGCTATCAGCCGCTCAATTTGGAAAATAGATCACCTGTAAACAGTGTTTTAAAATTACGACGCCACTGAACTGAGTTTTAATCAACAGGTCAAACATAAAGACAGGTGAATAATAAAGTTTAAGCCCACTGGCATTGTTAAGAAATAGTGTAAAGCGCAACGGTATGAGAATTTAAGGAGATGTGACACCGTGGAAAACAGCTGCAGTGAAGCTGGCCAAGTAATTATATTCCTGCATCGCGAGTTCTCGTTTTCTTTTCTTTCTTTCTTTCTTTTATTTATTTATTTATTTATTTTTATTTCTCTGCCAAAATCGGTGATTTTCCTCCCCTTGCATAACTTTCTAACGACTTTTTCGTCTTCGGCTTAACCCATCCGTTACCTCGTGCAACAAATAGAAGATGTTACATAACAATCCGGCACGAGGATACGAATTTTATTTTCCCTTGCACGTGCTGGCGATGTCTCTCACGAGTGAGCCCAGCTCACTCGTGAGAGATGTCACCAGCTCGTGCACGGGAAGATAAGTGTCGGGTTCCAAAGCGGCCATGTAAGGTCCTGTTTATATATAGAAATTGATTCAACGTCCAAATCTAATAGACATCTCGCAAGACCTCGTGGGGTAGGCGGGATGCTCTAATATTATTGGCTGACATGTTCGTAACCATGACGACATCAACATCCTCACATGTGAAAGAAAAAAATAGTATCTTCATATCACCTCCCGCGACGAAGAAATAAATTTCAGCGACAATAAAAATCGAGATATTTCATCGGTAATTCACGCCAACGATCTAAAGGTTTTACATCTTTCATGAGATCGAAAACTGATCTACACTCAGAGCTAGTTAGTGTACGCGATCGTAGGTTCTGGAGTCAATTTTATGTGTGGGCTTCGAAATTTGATTTTTTTTCTTTCTTTGTTATCTTGTGTAATACTGTGTTCATTTATGTGATAATCGGGTGGCCAATGGACACAAAATTGAAGAGCAGTCAGTTAGAAGTATTGGCTATAACTTCTGGTCAGATAACACACTTGTGAAAAGAGCTACCAAGAGTATTAGGGGCTTCAATGGCTGTTATTCTACTACTATTGCAATAACTGCTGACTAACCTAACGGAAATACAAGATCAAAGTTTTCAAGATAAATATCCTAAATTGTAGACATGTTTGGGTTTGCTGACCGTGGGAACTGTAAAATCCTCCCTAGCCGCAGACTTAGATACAATAAATGCGGACTCACCCACAGAACGAGGTAAGGGTAGTAGGTAAAGTCTGCATACGAGCCAAGTGACCCATCAGGCCAGAGCTTATCCCGCTTTCTGTAGCATGAAGGGACTAGGAGTATTTCTACTCCCCCTGGATGGGAGGCTAGTCTATCGCTGGGTTACCCCCAGCATTAAATTCGCCGGTACCCATTTATACATGTGGGTGGAGAGAGGCACTGTGAGTGTCTTGCTCAAGAACACAACACAATGTCCCCGGCAAGGGCTCGAATCCGGACCGCTCGCTCCGGGGTCGAGCGCACTAACCATGAGGCCACCGCGCCTCCCACTAACGGAACGAGGACAAATGAATAATCCTTAAAAGAAATCTAACCATAACTTAAACTCTTGAGGAGGTTTCAACCAAGGTCAGCAATACTGCCTAAAGAAACAAGACAATTGTGACAACAATCGTTAAAAGCTAGAGAATTAACCTAGACGAAACGAACAACAAACTAAATACAAGGAAATATATGTGTTGGCTAACCTTGACTGTTGCACAGCCATGGATAATCACGAGAACAACACAAGGCAAGTTAAAATTAACAGTTGAGTAATGAACAAATTTAGCTTCTCAGCGATAGAAGCAATAAGACACTAACTTTTATCTGTTCATACGGCAAAAGGACAATGTTTTTAGCTTTAGAACGACTTTAATTTTATCTGCACCGTTGCGTAAAGTAGGCCATTACAAAGCAAAAAGTAGCAATGTTATGTGTTGAAATGCAACGTTACGTAATGTGATGTATTTTACCTAACAAAAATACTCATTCGTTACATGTTTGCGAAGTTTTATCTGAAATGCTCAGAACTTATTATGCTGGGCTGAACATTTTTCGATCAGGTTTTAACGGTGAAAAGGACCTTTGTTTGCTTCGGAAAATCAGCCTATTGTTAAATTTAGTAGGTTCGTATGTAAATCTAAATACATTGCATTCCATTGTTATCAGAGCTAGTCATAATTTTCAGTCGACCAAAAGAAACGAAGGCTCTGGGACAAGAATAGTCCCACCCACCCCTGCTTGACGCTTTAACGCCTTACGACCACCCTTTTATGATCAAGGGAATAGTTTTCCTTATTTCTAGGTCCCTGGTGAAATTTCAAATTGAGGACCCCTCCCCCCCCCCCGCCCCCGTCGCACAAGATCCTTGGTGTTCAATATGCCGTGGCATTGACAGCTGAGGCTCAGTAATTTCCTCATTTGTTAATAAATGGTACAAATTTTCGTTCCAATTTTTTTAGGGTTTCACGTTATCGGTATCGATGGCTGGTTGAGTTGATCTCTTTCAGAGCGTTAAGGGTGACTTAGCAATCTCTTGTTACCATGGTTACTTAGGATGGATTGGTTCTTCAAATCTGACCACCCTGCTAGATCGCTTCTGATCTGCAGACCTGAAAAAGCAACATGGATAGTTTAGTTGGATGGTATATGTTTTCTATTTAAACTTCAAAAGTTATTCTTTTCTCTGAGACGAAACCAAACAAAACCAAAACAAAACGAAACTAAACGAAACAACGTACAAGAATTGTACGTAAGTAAAGGTTAAGTCTGTATATGAGCTGAGCCAAGCGCCCATCAAGCCGAATTAAGCTTATCTCCGGTTTCTGTAGCACGAAGCGACTAGGTCTGGAGTATTTCTACTCCCCCCTGGATGGGATGCTAGTCCATTGCAGGGTTACCCTCAACATTAAAATTCGCCGGTACTCATTTGTACACCTCGGTGGAGAGAGGCACTGTGAGAGTAAAGTGTCTTCCCAAGAACACAACAAAATGTCCCCGGGCAGGGCTCGAACACGGACCGCTCGATCCGGAGACGAGCGCACTAACCATGAGGCCATCGCCTCCACAAAGAATTGCATTCTAAATTAATTCAATCACTTTTCCCAAAACGAATCAGGAAATTAACTCTAGTGTTGACATGAAATGACCAATTTATTTGCTTGGAGCGACTGCGAGTATTTCTCCTCCCATTAGATGGGATTATAGTCCATCGTAGGGTACTCCGTAGCAGTCTATCAGGTTGCCTTAACATTTCAATAGTA